CTGGAAACCTCCCTGGATGACCTCCAAGATGACCAAACTGAGGCTGTCGTACTTTGGACACATCAGGAAAAGGGAGGACTCTTTGGAAAAGAATAATGCTGGGGAAGGAGGAAGAGAGGAAGGCCACAGGCTGCCAGATGGAGGGACTCTATTATTAAGGAGGTCACTTTGGGTATTTATTAAGGGTTTGCAGGATTTAAGCAGAACAGGGGGTCTTCTTGGAGATGTCCCATCCATAGGGTCACCATGAGTCAAGATCAACTCAAGGGCAGTTAACAACAACAACAACAACAAATTATAAGGAAGGGCATTTTGGTTTGATGTGAGTATGGAAAGAGTTTGTGGGATCGTAGAGCTAGAAGGTGCCACATGGACCATGAATCCAAACCACTGTTCGGTTACATCTGTTGCATTTCAGATTGTTTTAGCTGCTTTGTTTGAGCGTAAACCACTCTGGATCCAAATCTTAACATGAAGAAAGCACCTTGCAAAAAAGGCAAAACTGGACTTCCAGCCACTCCTCTCTTCCACCTCATTTGGGGCATTTGGAGACCTGAAGCCCCCCAGAGGATAAGAAATAAGATAAAATTGGCCCCTCGGCCTGCTTTTCTCTTGCTTTCTAGAGCCGGAGGGAGCTGAAAATCTAAGGCAAGCTGTGGGGGAAACCCTCTTGCCCCTTTTGTGTGGCAGCCATGTGCCACCCTTCTCCAGCCGACATCCTCATGCGCCTCTGCCATATTCTTGCAGCAAGAAAAACAAGGCTGTGCTATATTTGGGAGGGAAGGAGGGAGGGAAGGAGAAGGCGCTGGGAGACGAAGAGCACCCGATACATGCTCCAGCTGTCTCTGACACCCTCCACTCCATTTCTTTCCAAATTAAATATTCTCCTGTTTACCCAGTTTGTAAGGAAATGGACAAGAGGGGGCAATTTTTTCAGCCGGCCCTTTTGTCTCTTCTCTGCTAGGCGCTCTGCCTCTGCTTAGTTTTCCAGAAGCAAAGAGAGAAGCATTTTCCCAGGGAATGTGGGTAGTTCGATGAATCCCTCCCTATTTCTCTCTTGCACAGACTTACACACTTTGCAGCATTCTAGGAATTAACTCGAGAGCATGCATGTCATGCTGCTGATATTGCACAAGTGTGCGTTGTCCTTTCCGACTCATAGCAACCCTAAGGCAAACCTATCATGGGGTTTTCTTGGCAAGATTGGTTCAGAGGAGGTTTGCTGTGGCTTCCTTCTTGAAGCTGAGACAGTGTGACTTGTCCAAGGGTGTATTCCCTTTGCTGCTGAGTAAGCGTGCGCCTTGGGAGATGCTCATGCCCTGCTGTTGGTGGAGCAGAAAACCTGAGCACCTGAGCATTTCTGGACGATGAAGAGCTCAGGCACATTTATCATATATTTTGTAGCAGTGGTCCCCAAGTGGTGGAAGACATCTGTTTGTCACAACCCAAGATTTCCCACACCTACGTATCTTGCATCTAGCGTGTCTTGTTGTCTAACTATCCATAAGAAGATAAACACGGGCTTGATTTGCAAGTCTTGCCTCCTAGGCATGTGTTTCTGAGGCAATCCAACTGCGGGGGCAGAAAATGGGTTAATCATAAAGATTTCCCTTAATGTCTACCTTTCTTAGTTGTAACTAAGAGAAAACACAAAGGGATGTGTCAGAATGAGAGAGGGGGGGATCAAGAGCTGTCAAGGCAGAGAAGAAAGCAGGAGAAATGGTGAGCAAAACAAGGAGAGAGTGGGACTTACTACTCTGATTTTAAGCATCTCTTTTCTCCTGAATATTGGACTAAATTGATTTGAAATATATTTTTAGTTTGAATGTTCTCATTCCATAGGATTCTTGAGGAATATTGTTGGTGCACTTGAAAGCAAAATGAAACCAAATGTACAGTATCTGGGACCATGGCATCAAGTCATGAGCAAGCCCTGGGGTTCCTCACCAAAGCATGACACCAGGTCTTACCAAAGAATAGAACTGTCTTATTCTTTTCCTTTATCGGGATGCTATTTCTTCAGTCGATGCATCACAGAATTGTATTACAAGCTGAATTGCCCTTTTCCAGAATTGTGAAATCCAACATGCTCCAAAATCCAATTTTTTTAATGAGTGGCTGAGATAGTGGCACCTTTGCTTTCTGATGGTTCAACGTATGCACACTTTGTTTCATGCCCAAAATAATTGAAAGTATCGTGCATAAAATTGCCTTCCGCATATGTGTATAAGGTGTATATCACTGTATAAGATGTATATCAGTGTTTCCAGGTGTTTTGGTACTTCAGCTCCCATAATTCCAGAATGCTGGCCAAGCTAGCTGGGGATTCTGGGAGGTGAGGTCCAAAAACACCCAGAGGACAACGTTTGGGAACCACTGGTGTATATGAAACATAGACATATTTCTTGTTTAGAGGTGGGTCCCATCCTCAGGATATCTCATTATGTTTATGCAAATATTCCAAAAACCCAAAATACTTCTGGTGCCAAGCATTTTGGATAAGGAAGACTCAGTCTGTAGTTGGATTTGGGGATTTGATCTGAGATATCAGAGCACCATTTGCTGTTTTGCTTTCGACAGAAAAAGAACTTGGGCCACCGCTGCCAGGAACATGATAACCATAAGCAACCGAAATGTGGAAGGCAGAGAAAGAGATGTGTGGGAAGCTGCAGGAAGAAAATCCAGCTGCCCGAAGCCTCCAGCCTCCTCTTTCTGCAGCAGTCAGTCCAGTTTCCACATCTCTCATGCCTCTATTTTTGGCATCTCGCTCGCTGCTCTCCTTATGAGTGCCAACACTTTCGGCAACCTCAAAGCACTCTCTGTTTCAATGCTCATTTTTTCTTTCTGACTTTGGACAAGGGGAATTGGGGCTACTAGCCTGGCTTGAGACTGAAGCCTGCATGGTGCATTGGAAAGGCTTGGGATGTCCATTTCCATCCAAAATCAGCCAAAAGACAGGATTGCAGAAACAGTTTGCAAGGGGAGAAAGGAGAGTTTTCATCCTTTCCATAACCCCTGGAGCTTGGTAAAAAACATCTATTGTTGCTTCAGTGCCTAGAGTCCCCCAATAAGCCCAACCAACAGCTGTCTGGGGGATTCTGGGACCTGTAGTTAAGAATTTCTCCATCATCTTATTAACCGATCTCTACCGTTTCCTTTTCCAGCTGTTTTTTCCTAAAACATAGACCCCATGAATCCACAATCCATGGCATTTAGTGGCTCATGTATCCATAAGAGCATGAATTCTTCCCGGGTTTTAATCTAAACTCTAAAGGGACTAATAAACAGGAGTCTTGGCTAGGTTACCATGTTGTTGTTACTGTTATTGTCGTTGCTCTTGTTCCTGACTTATGGCAACCCTAAGGCGAACCTATCATAGGGTTTCTTGGCAAGGTTTGTTTGCCTTTGCCTTCCTCGAAGGCTGAGAGTGTGTGCATGAAGGCACAAAACAACAACAACAACAACATGGCCAACATGACTACCTTTGGATATATATATATCCCCTCTTAGATTGGACCCAGTGGCTTTATATGGTCCAGCAAGGATACCCTAAGAGGGGATATATATCCATAGGTAATCTTTTTGGCCATGTTGTTGTTGTTGTTGTTGTTGTTTACCTTCAAGCCCTTTCTGACTTATGGCAACCCTATCACAGGGTTTTTTTGCCAAGTTCAGAGTGGGTTTGCCTTTGCCTTCCTCTGAAGCTGAGAGAGTGGGACTCGCCAAGGTCACCCAGTGGGTTTCCATGGCTGTGCAGCGGATTCTAACCCTCTTCCCCAGAATCCAGCACTCAAACCACTGTGCCACAATGTCTCCCCCTCTTTGCTTTGAGCAGCATTTAGTGCAATTAAAAAAAATCCCTTTAATGAGGGATCTTTAACAAGAATCGAGGATTCTGATGCATCAATCGAAAATAAAGCAAAGAATGCAACCTTCTTGGTCTGATGCTATCATTGCTTGCAAACATTTATAATGATGCTGCCATCTAGTGATAATACGCAAAACTAGGCTGGAGCATCACTACAGATGGGTCACA